GTTCCTCCGGAATTTTAGAATTTCACAAAACTCACTAGATTGCGTGAAACCTATACCAGGTGACACAGAATCATGATACCCCCTTTTCTCCTATGTTTTTAGTTACATTTCTGAAATTGGGAACATCGAATATGCTCACTAGAGGGCACTTTCTCACATGTTAGGAAATTTTTTTCATCTTCCGGTTTCCCTGGAAATGACATGAACTTTCGATTGTTAAATGTAACAAACTGTATTTTACTCCATAATCGGTTAGAGATTATTTCAACGAATTCAACATGGGTTTGATTGGGTTACTTCAAACGATTACGAAGATATTCGCGTTCGAAGATTCCGTAAGCTCAATGAGTGTGACAGAGACAGAAGTTTCGATATTGCGCTGTCACACCCATTGAGCTTATGGAAACTTCGAACGCGATAAATTATTAACATAAAAAAAATTGATGTATATATACCGGGTGTAATTTTTTTATATGAAAATTTGAATTAACCCCCTATATATTCTCCCTATTTTTTTATCGAGAAAAAACAATATGCGAAAGTTGGTTGACGTGATGAGGCCTTTCCACAGTCCTAATCAAAAGTTTTATAGGGTGATCCCTAAAAGCGTGACAAACCATAAGTTTTTTTTTTTTTTAATTGAACACCCTGTTTTTTATATATTTTTCAGAATCTGTGATATTTTGTAATCACAGAAATATATGTATACAGTATGATATCTTTCATTTTTACTTCATTATCATCACTTTTTTTACCCTAGAATAATATTTTTTGTGTGTTAGCTTCTACAGATATCGTGTTAGCCATGAATGATGATATACTTGACAGTTGTACAGTGTGTTCCAGCTAAAACTTGTCACCCCCTTAATCTCCCATGTCGTTAAAAAAAATGAAAATCGCTCGAACAGGTCGATTTCAATTTGGCGGGGGACGCATTTTTCTGCAATCATCATAGAATTTCAAAGTTGAAATCTTGTAGCGTATCGGGCATCAACTCTCGATTTTCAAATGGAGCACCCTGTATTTAATTGCATTCTTAGATTCTCCTTGAAGAGTTGCTTTCACCAATGTATCACACTTGGTGTCTAGCGGGAATGATGACAGGGATATAGGGTGTTCAAAATCGAGACTTTTCAACTTTAGGATTTTTTTGTGTCGAAACTATTCATTATCGGTCAAAACAGCTTTCATGTCCCAATTTCAACTTTTGATTTACCATCTACTGATATTCAATCTGAACGAATACAGGGTGGTTCATGATTCTGAATTTTGAACTACCCTGTACTCGTCTAAATTAAATATCAGTAGAGAACATGTGAGTCGTTCTGACCAATAATGAATAGTTTCTACACAAAAAAATCCTCAAGTTACAAATTATGTAATCATTCCCGTTAGTCACCAAGTGTGGTACATTTATGAAAGCAGCTCTTCAGAGAGAATCTAAAAATGCAATGGAATACAGGGTGCTCCATTTGAAAATCAAGAGTTGATGCCCGTTACGCTTCAAGATTTCAACTTTGAAATATGATAATTGCAGAAAAATGTGTCCCCCGTCAAATTAAAATCTACCTGTCCGAGCGATTTTCAATTTTTTTAACGACATCGGACATTTGGGGGTAACAAGTTTTAGCTGGGATACACTGTATATTAGTATATTGCATCATTATCGAATACATTCCCAAACTGATCAAGTTATCACCAATTAATCGCACAAAATGTGTTTTTATAGGCTCGAAAGAGATAAATATGTGAAAATAGAAGTAATCACCCTGCATATACAGGGTGGCCCACGAGGTTTTGGCCAGTCGATATCTCGAAAACTATTTGAACTACAATTTTGAATTTTTGTGGTTTTGAACAATGGAATGCGGTGACCATTTTTGGTATAAGAGGGTTTTATTGCAACATCGCATTTCCAATCACGTGTTATCAACTTCAAAATTTTAAATGGAACACCCTGTATATTATTGCATTTTTGTGAAGACCTTTGTAATGCAAATACTACGATACCATCATTGTCAGGGTTGTCATGTGAAACGGTGACAATATGAGCTGTCAAATAACTGGAAAATGTATTAAAGAACAACAGTTTAATTAGGAAACGAAACAAAATAAGTAGAAAAAGCATTACAGTTGATGCTCAAATTGATGTCCATCTTCAGTAACGCAATGCTCAAATCTTGTTAAAAGATTTCTAGTGCATGCTGCTCTAATCATTTCAGGTGTAACAGTTTGGCACGCTGCTCTGATTTTGTTTTGCAAAGGCATACTATTCTTGATACTACTTGTACACAAAGCCAATCTACTGATACTGATTGACAGCCTTTGACAAGTGCGATGTATTTCTGTTGCTAGGATACTTTTTCTCTTCCTGAGCTATCACGTTTTTTGAATAAAAATACAGAAATGTTCATAAAAACCTCTTTATCTCAACTGTAGTGCCGAAAAACCGCTGACAATTATGGTATCGTAAAATTTGTATTAGAAAGGACTTCACGAAAATGCAATAATACACATGGTGTTACATTTGGAATTTTGAAGTTGATGTCACGTGATCGGAAATGCGATGTTGCAATAAAAACCTCTTATATCAAAAATGAACACCATATTCCACTGTTTGAAACCACCAAATTTCAGAATTATAGTTCAAATAGTTTCCGAGATATCGACTGGCCAAAACCTCGTGGGCCACCCTGTATATACAGCGAGTCTCACTTTAAACGCCCTCCCCCCTCTATATATCTCAGTTATTAGTCATACGATTCCAACCAAATTTGGTGTGGTATGAATAACCATCAATATGATCAGTTTTACAGAGATGCGCATTATTTTGGACAGTGCCGTGCGTTTTTATTGAACTAAACAGGGGTCGATTTTTCATAAAATCATATTAGGCATTTTTTTACAGGAAATCTAACCTCATATTATTGTTTCTCATGATTTCGAACCTCCATATGCAAAAAATCACCTAATTCTGAATTAACAGGATTGGCTTCATTTTTTTCATTTTCAGTCTCGAATAAATAGTGACTACGAATTTTGGAACGTTCAATGGCTCCGGTAGGTGGAAAATCAGCATTTGGAAGGAAAAACAAGTTATACTTTTTTATGTTGAGCTCACCGTTTCCGAGTAAATAATTATTACGTTCGCAAAAATGCTGTTTAGATGCGCCTGTTTTCTGAAACCTTCATAGGCATCTCATGAAAATCCACATATTATGTGGTTTTGAAACCATGAAGAACAATATTATGAGGTCAGTTTTCCTGTGAAAAAATGCCTAATACGATTTAATAAAAAACTGACCTTTATTCATTTCAATAAAAATACACGGCACTGTCTAAAATGATGTTTGTCTTTGAAGAACTGGTCATATTGATGATTATTCATACCGATACAAATTTGGTACAGATCGCATCACTGATAGCTGAGATATAGAGGGGGGACCGTTTGAAATGAGACACACATTTTAATCTTTATTTGGAAATTTCTCGAAATGTATGCATCAAAAAAATTGACGAATAAAAGTTGTATGGTTTGGAGGAGGACGTCTGGTTATAAAACAAGTTTCACCCCCTGACCCCCAGGGGAGTAAGAAATGGAGGTAACATTGAAATCTTTAATGGAAACCCCTATTTTTTATTGCAGATTCTGGAAGAGCATTAAAAACTATGGAGCTTTTATTCGGGAACTTCTTTTTTATTTTCACAAGATGGCGCTGCGATCGTAAAAAACAATATTTCACTATTTACACATTTCAACCCCCTGAAGACGAGGAATAGTGTAGGGTGTGATATTTTCCCAGACAAACGCCATTGGGGTGATATTCACACGACAATTCAACGCTAAACGAACTTACTTACCTTGACACCTCTACATAGAAAAGAGAAAAATAAGCATGTTTCAGCAATTAAGGTATCATTTAAGACAGACTAGAGCTGGTTTTAAGTGAGATTGACTACTTTATCAAGTGTTCGAAATGACCTCCATTTTCTTGAATACACAAGTTCACTCGTTTTTCAAAATTCCGCATTGTCGCTTCCAACATAGCAGGCGTTATCTTTCATATTCTCGCGTGTGGTTGGGGGTTCGCGAAACACAATGTTTTTGATGTAACCCCACAGAAAGAAGTCTGGGGAAGTCAAGTCGGGTGATCTGGGTGGCCAACTACAAACTAAATAGTAAAATATTGTTTTTCAAGATCGCAGCGCCATCTTGTGAAAATAAAAAAGAAGTTTCTGAATAAAAGCTTCATAGTTTTTAATGCTTTTCCAGAATCTGCAATAAAAAAAAGGGATTTCCATTGAAGATTTCAATGTTACCTCCATTTCCCACTCCCCTGGGGGTCAGGGGGTGAAACTTGTTTTATAACCAGACGTCCCCCTCTAAACCATACAACTTTTATTCGGCAATTTTTTTTGTCAGATGCATACATTTCGAGAAATTTCCAAATAAAGATTAAAATGGGACACCCGGTATGTGATCACAAGATCACAAATTTACGAAAAAAAATTAAAAAAACTGGGTGTTCCGTTTGAAAAAATTAGTTTGTGGTTTGTCATGCTTTCAGAGATCACCCTGTAAAACTTTTCGTAAGGGCTGTGGAAAGACCTGATTTGGAGAAATCAATTTGTGGTTTGTCACGCTTTCAGGAATCACCCTGAAAAACTTTTCGTAAGGGCTGTGGAAAGACCTCACAGTGGCATTCAACTTCCAATTATTAAATACTGTCTGTTTTTTTTTTCGATGAAAAAATAACGTTAATATATATGGGTAGGCCTTTTCGAAGGTTAACCCTGTACATCAAAGAACCTTGCTAATATGAAGTTAGCACGCAAAATCATAATGAAATTTTGAAGTACAGAGGACATATCTGAAGGTAAGAAGTCTACTTCAAAAGGCTAATCGCTTTAGAATCGTTCTAAAAACATTAGCCCATAAATGGGGTCGATTGACGAGCTGTCACCTGAAATAAGAATCGACTTTTTGTTGATGGAAATACCTTTTTGGCCCACGCCTGATACCCAGAAGACAGTTCAGCCTGGGACATTATTTGTGCCCCCGTAGAGCCGGTGAACTGGCCTAGCTGCTGTTTGCTGCTAGCCCAACTCTGCATCTGTAAAATCAAATATAAAAAATGGAAAGTCGAAATCTTCCCTCATGAAAGTTCTGTGCTCATAAACCGCTAGTACAAAACGCAACGCAGAAACACGGCAACATTGTAAATGATGAAGAATATTCGCATACTTCATTGCCAAAGCGGAAAATTGGTGGAAGTAGTTAGAATTTGAATGTCAACTTATGACACTTGAATTACATCTCTAGTGAGAAAATATTTTGAAATTAAGTGCAGTTGGATGTTTTATGCTGTTTTTTAGCTCAACTTTTGACTGCCACTGCTAGAATCATAAGCTAGGATGCCAATGGTACCCTCAATCAGATAGGTGACTCAATATCTTCGCTTCAATACAGCTGACATTGGGAAGTTTTCAATATTGAGGTTTATATTTCACTGTGAAGTTTGGATAAAATTTAATGTATAGGCGATTCAAAATAAGCGATACGCCCTCTTGCAGATATTCAAGTAACTAATCGAAAGTACATTGATGCATTTCTTTTGATCAACGACGAACCTGATAATTATGTAATATTTACAGACTCTAAAAGTGCTATTTCTGAGCTAAAAAATAAGCATTTGAACGTAAACACAAATAATTTATAATGGAAAATGAAAGACATTTGGTTCGAACAGCAGATAAATCATTCCAAAATCAAACTTGATTGGATCCCTGGTCATAGTTACATTGTGGGTAATGATAAAGCTGATGAAATTGCAAAAAACGCAAACATTCCGAACAAAATTGATCAAATACAATACTCAGATCTGACACCATTTCTTGAAGGGGTCATAAAAAACAAATTTCAAATTTATTGGGACCAATCTTCTATTCAGAGAGGTACGCGATTTGAAGAAATTCAACCTAAGATCTAAGAAAATCCTTGGTTCAGTGATTGTCAATATTTTAACCGAAAAATATTCACATCCATAATGAGACTTAGGTAGGTCGCTGCTGTCTTCCAGAACATCTTCAATCCTACTTCATCGAGTATTATGAATAATTTTCATAAATCTCTTATTTTCTGGATGAAGTTGATTACTAATAAAGATGAATTATGATATATTGCAATAATAACTATAATTTTTCACTATCGTTATATTATAAAATGATAATCATAACTTATTGTCAGTATTTTTTTCAATGAATTCGTTCCTTTTCAAAACGGATCTATTTTCAAGGAAAGTTGCAGATTATATCTTGCAACAGCGCATAATACTTTGAACCCGTCCACACCACATATAATACTGACAGGCACACCGAGAACTGATCTGATTTTGTGGTTATGTATGTTTTTGTATACCAGTTCAACTTGTGATTTTTTATCTCTAGTTACTCATTACTCGTTAGCCTATTATAGTTGTTTTGTTATTGTTCATCGGTATTTTTCATGATATAATCAACAACGATGCCAAGTTGCCTTCTTCTATTTTTTTTTTCATTCGTTAGCTATTCGCTAGCTATATTCTGCATCAGATATTTTCAGGCAAGATTCATAATGTAGGTCACAGTTGGACGCCCCGAAAATTGGAAATTGCTTCATTTTGAAAATAAAAACGACTTGGACTTTATCGATCGGCATTCTGTACAGCGTGGACATAAAACTGAGGAGTTCCGAACTCACTTTAAGAAAATTCATCTGAAGGAAACTTACAAGCTGCAATGTGGTGTAGGTACTGCTGCATACTTCGCAAACATTATTCTTCAGGAACTGGAAAGGACATATCTTTCCATAGGTACGAAGATTTTATGATTTCAATATGATTAATAGTTGAAGTTTTAGTTTTCCTAATGATTAGACTCGAAGATGCAGTGGTGGCAGGTGGTGCTATCTGATTCGTCCAAGTTTGACGTAGATTTGCGTTTTCAATAAATAGTCTTTTCATTCAAACTGATCGCTTTTGTTTCAATGTATTCAAATCAAATTATTCCTTGACATGTTTTCAATGATTCATCTACACCTCGACATGAAATTTGCAATAATCTTTCGAAAATTATATATTATCAACTACCTCAGTCCTGCTCTTACTATTGATCCACAAAATCCACCTTTTCGAGTTTTTTTCAGTCAAGTTGGGTGATTGAAGCAATAGGCTTTCAAAATTCCAGCCTTATACAACTGTTACATGATGACATGCTCAGTCTTATCCTATCTGTGAGATGCAGATATATTGCCCTATTTGTTTAATGTTGGCGTATTTTCCATAAATGAAGTGAATGGTCTTGGGTCGAAACTCTTCTGCAATTAACACCGACGGATAATGCAGAATTTCACGAATACTTGCACAGTCAAAAACGATCTTTGAGTGAACTTGGTTTTACCTCTTTGTTTGATTTGTACATCTGTCCAAGGGCCTGCACGTCATTAGGGTTCTCTTGAAGCCTCCTCATCGCCGTCAGTCTTTGGGAGACTATAGATCCAATATCGACGGATGGCTGAAAACAAACATTCTTCCTTCAAAAACTCCCGTTAGATATTTTCTGGAGTGGACACTTTACCGATATCCAGAAATGAATCTACCCACGCAAATGGAAAATTCTGCCGTGGGGAGCCATGCAGAACCTTAAATGGAAGGCACGATGCCCACTGACGATTATCGACAAATAGGTCTGCCCACCTATTTGAAGGGACTACCTCATGATAGCGGCTGAAACCGCTTAACAAAGTCAGTTGAGACATTTCCGTTTTCGAATATACGAGGATTCATGAATTAACTTCCCATCCTAATAGGAATAAATTGAATATTTTCTATTGAACTTTCACGGTATGCAGTTAAGGTGAAGAAACTCTAGTCGCATCTCATTGGTTAGCCACAACTATACCAAATGATTGGTCAGAGTTTTTTCACTGGGTGTTGGAGCAAGGTATTTTGCGAATTACTGGTTCTATTCGATTTTCAGAAAATTTATTATTTCATCATCATAGTGTTTTCCTACCCTACTCCCTTTATACATATTTTTAGATGTATTAGAAAGGACATAGGATACTTCTAATTTGAAAAAAAAGTTGTAGGTGAAAATTTTTTTAAATCTAACAAATTAATATCTTATTGGCCATAGCATCTACTGTAGAGAATTTTTCTGAAGTTACTTTGTTCTGTCACTTATAAGCAATAGGTAATACCACAGTAGATCGCTAAAGATCCAGTAGTTGCACTTACTGTCGGCACCAGTGATGTTCGTTACACCGTTTTGTTTACCGCGCAACTATAATTTCATGCCACGCGCACCAGACCATTATTCCAAAACTTGGACACAGAATATCAACAATCAGACATGAAATTCTATACGTCGGTACCATAGATATTAATTATTAGAATACGTATTTTGGGGCTCGTAAATCTCGAATTATTCAGATGATGAAATGAAAATGACAAATATCTAACCTAACAACAGTTGGGCACTTCAAAGGCGCAAATTCATTACTGCATAGGAGTTATCTTCAGATTTTTTGCAATTCAGTGACTTGACCACGAATGATATTGACTTAAAATTTCAAACTCAAAGGGTGGTTTTCTTGATGGCTGAACTATCTGAGTAGCAGATTTTACCAAATATCCCAGCAAATTCAATGATCGGCGTCTTACCCACCATTCAAGTCAAAAAGTGAAAATTCCGACAACCAACACGAAAAAGGCTGACTTGATACTATTTATGGGAAAAGAAGGAGATACCAGATACCTCTCAAAAAACTGAGAACAGAGTTAATGGAAATGATCAAGAATGAGAATTTTCAGTAGGAATATGTGGCTGATCAACTTTCCGAAGCACACTGCCATACTGTTTTACTTCCATATTAAGTTCGTTTTTAACCCCATTGAGATGGTCTGGGCTGCTATTGAAAGCAACGTGAGGAAAAATAATCAAGAGTTAAGATAACTATTGAGTGGAGTTTTATAACTACATATTGTGAATATTATATGCAAAGTGTAAAATGTAGGAAAGTAATGTTGTCATATTGCAAATATAGGTCGATATTTGAGATTACCTATTGGCTAATACTCATTAAAAAAAGTAAAAGGCCGTGGTAATATATTTCGCGTACTTCAGATCTTCTAACAACGGACAGTTTAACTTTTTATTCCTATCACTTCTCATGTCCCAAATTGGAGATATAGGTAATCTCAACCGTTTCCGTATGAACAACTTTCTTTCGGTGTCTCAAGAGACTTCGCAGACTATAGATAAACTTCCCCGTGGTAATACCTCTTGGGTGGTCTGGAAACATCTCAACCGTTTAGATATGAACAATCTAAGAATCCTATGAAAACAGCTCATTCGTGGTACCAAAGCAAAATATTATTCTCCGCCGCTGTTAGCGGCAGATTTCAAAGGATTTGCCGACATGTAACCGGTTGAAATTTCATTCGGTGTCTCAAGCGACTTCACAAAGACTACAGATAAACTTCCCCGTGGAAATACTGTCAAGAAGTACAAATGTCTATGAAATAACTTTCGTTCATTTCTAGATCTTTATTCATAAATTGACTTTTCCAAATTGAAACATCTTGTACAGCGTTTCGATCAGGTCAAAGCGGAGTTCATAGACTCTAGTTCCGGTAAAATTTGCATGAAACCGCTTAGCTTGCGATGCGGGCTAAGCTATACGCCCGGTATCGAGCATTGCCATTGCGGAAAATTGCAATGTTAGCATCGATTCCAAATATAAATAGATTCCGAATCGATAGGCCATTCATTACTGAATTCATTACTGATTATTCATTACTGATTACTGATTACTGATTACTATTTCGTTACTATTATAATGCATTTCGATAACACTTTACTTGATTCCGTAATTGAGTTACTTATTCACGAGTCGCTGCCAAAATGTGTACCGTCTTTCCCGACTTTGATCCTGCTGGTCAACCCCATGTTAGATGTCATAATGTAAGTACTGTTTTCCCTGTTCTATCTGATTTGTTTTTTCTGTGTTGTGTTCCGTTTGGTAATTCACTATGGTTTGTCTCTGCTACTTTGCCATGTGGCAAGCATTTATTCACGACTTTCCCATTAAATCAATAAATGTTAATTTTATACGAAAACTATCTTGACTCTTCATTTGGGGATAAATATGGTTGGGTGGTAAAATGATCAAAATCCTCTCATCAAGCCAAGCGAGTAGCCAAGTTGCGATCCATAGGAGGGCAACATCTGAGTTGCGACATGTGGTGGACACGCCGTTTGCCAAATAATCTACCAAAACCATCTGAGTTGCGACAATACCTCATGGGTGGTCTGCAAACTTAAAAATATTCCATGTACTACAGATCTTCTCTAAGATCCGGCAGATCAATTTTTCATATTTTTCACTTGTCATGTACCAAAAAATCTCAACAGTTTCCATATGAACAATCTAAGAATCCTATGAAAACAGCTTTCATTCGTGATACCGAAACAAAATATTATTCTCCGCCGCTGTTGGCGGCAGATTTTAAAGGATTTGCCGACACGTAACCGGTTAAATTTTCTTTCGGTGTCTCAAGCGATTTCGCAGACTATAGATAAACTTCCCCGTGGTAATACCTGATGGGTGGTCTGCAAACTTAAAAATATTCCGTGTACTGCAGATCTTCTCTAAGATCCGGCAGTTCAATTTTTCATTTCTTTCACTTCTCATGTACCAAAGAATCTTAATCGTTTCCATATGAACAATCTAAAGAACCCTATGAAAACAGCTTCCAATCGTGGTACCGAAACAAAATATTCTGTTGGCGGCAGATTTCAAAGGATTTGCCGACAAGTGATCGGTTGAATTTTCTTCCGGTGTCTCAAGCGACTTCGCAAAAACTATAGATAAACTTCCCCGTGGTAATAACTCATGGGTGGTCTGGAAACTTACCAATACTCCTGTATGGTTACTCACCTCGTTGATGGGCGTGGGAAAGACTTGCGGTCCGGGTGGAGCGTTCGCCGGCGCCGGCACCGTCACCACCTTCAGCTCCGGCACCGGCGCCGGCTCGATGGCCAGCGGGACTGCGGCGGCCGGCGCCGGAACGGGGGCCGGCGCCGGCTGCTCGTCGGCCTTCTTGTCGGCGGGAGGCGACACCGGCCGCCAGTGCTCGCCTTTGCGATGCTGCTGGCCGCTGCTGACGGGGAACTGGATGCGCAGTTCGGAGGTCCTTTCCACCGTGGATTTTATGGGAAGAGGGACGGAGTTCTGGAATCATTTATCTGATTTTATTTACAACCATATATGTAATGTTGTCATTACTAACGTCATTGAAGGTTGGGAAGTGTCACATTACACACATCTACTTCCCGCCCCTAGAGTCCCTGTATATACCTTAGACAAGAGTCCGGACACAGCTATACTTTTGTCCTTTTCTGTTTTCAAAAAATGCATTGATGATTGAATAAAGGAATAAGACATATATATCCAGCTCTGTCTTTTCAATTCCCCTAGTATCATTGATTGTCAGAAACAATTTTTAGGGTTAGATTATTTGTCAAACCGTTCATAGCCGTAGGTAGAAGTGAGAAATAGGGCTATTTTAACTAGAATAACTATTAGATTTTCAAATAATGAACAACAGGGTGTTCAAATTTCGAATTGATAATTTTCATAATCAATTCCTGAGATGGCTATTGCAAATTTTCGACATCAGATATTTCTTCACTTCATTAGATATAAGGAAGATAATTTGAGTGTTCTACATGGTATCACATATAGCCAAGAAAATATAGTTGTTTTCAGTTGGGATATAAAAAAATAGAAGATATATAATTGTTTCAATATAATTTTGTCCGATTCTCTCAATTTGATAACACTCAGCAGAAATAAAAGTGACAAAATCAAAACAACAATATATATATATACAGGGTGGGTCACGGTCGATGGCACCTTAGACGTTTACGGAGAACGGGACATAAGATCATTCTGAAAATTTGGTTACTCAAGTAATTGCTCTTGATCTATCGATCTAAAATATTTTCAGCTCTGCGGCGTTGCCGCTTCTATCGAAAAGTAGCAACAACTTTGTTATTTTAAACGGAACACCCTGTATTTTATCGCATTTTCAGATTCTCTCTGAAGAGCTGATTTCATCGATGTATCACAATTGGGGTCTAGCGGAAATGATTACAGAGATATAGGGTGTGAAAAATCGACATTTTTCAACTTTAGGAATTTTTTTTGTCGAAACTATTCATTATTGGTCAAAACGGCTCACATGTCCCTATCCCAACTTTTGATCAACTATCTACTGACATTTAATTGAAACAAATACAGGGTGGTGCAGAATTCAGATTCTTGATCACCCGGTATATGTCCCAATTAAATATCAGTAGATAGTTAATCAAAAGTTGAGATAGGGACATGTAAGCCGTTTTGACCAATAATGAATAGTTTCGACAGAAAAAATTCCTAAAGTTGAAAAATGTCGATTTTTCACACCCTATATCTCTGTAATCAATTCCGCTAGACCCCAAGTGTGATACATCGATGAAATCAGCTCTTCAGAGAGAATCTGAAAATGCAATAAAATATAGGGTGTTCCATATAAAATAACAAAGTTGTTGCTACTTTTCGGTAGAAGCGGCAACGCCGCAAAGCAGAAATTATTTTAGATCGATAGATCAAGAGTAATTACTTGAGTAACCAAATTTTCAGAATGATCTTATGTCCCGTTCTCCGTAAACGTCTAAGGTGCCATCTACCGTGACCCACCCTGTATATATATATACCTATATATGACTTATTATTTGTGTTGGTTTCCCACCTCTTCCTGCAGTCTACATTCACCTGTAAATTTTGAATTTGATCTGAATTAAAAACACCGTGGACTGATGACATAGCACATTGCAATTTCTCTAAATCTTCTAGTTTTGATTTCAAACTTTCAATTTCTTTCCACATCATCTCATTCTCCTTTTCTTTCTCTGCGATCCTATCATTCAGTAAGTCCCAATACGATGACGACGAAACTCTTTTTTTGAACGTCTCTATTTTATAAATTGAAGGCACAGCAGACTCTTTCAATTTGAACTCCATCAGCTTGAAAGAATCTATCAAAATGGGACTAAAATTCATCTCTTTGTACTGTTTCTACAAGTAAATTTGAATAATTACCTCACATATTGCGGATTTCATGAAATTAATTTTCCGTTCTGGATCATTTGGAAAATTGAATAACTTGAATCTCTTTTCTGATGAATTATCGCAATAATGTACGCAGAAGGACATTGAAATAATTTAAAATGCTAAATTTTGGCGGTCATAAAATTTCAAAGTGACAGTGACAGAAATTCGAAATAATTAAAAAAAGCGGACGGGACGACTATGGTGTTTTGTCACATTGTCAGGCGGGCAAACCAAATGAAACAAAATATTAAAAACCCCAACGGCTGTCAGTTTTGTGTCCGGACTCTTTATTAATTTTGATCGAAATATGATGGTTTTAAATAAAATAGTATACAAACCTCGGTAGGGAGTTTCATTCCTGTCTCGAGATTATAGCTACTGGTACTGGTACTGGTGGGGGACGTTTGCACGTCAGCAACTAGTCCCTAATGGGACCTTTTTGCAAACCCAACTTTTTTCAATGACTGATATGGTTCGCTCAAGAGAGCTGGCTAACATCCTTTTCAGGCACCGCCCATCAGCTCTCTTTCAGAGTTTTTCGGCTGTGTTTTGTAGGCTAGTAATGTACTCACTACCATATGCGCAGTGGCAGGCCTGCTAACTATCCTCGTTAACCCCCGTTAGAGACTAGGGTCCACTAAGTAGCTGGCCAGCTCTCACGCTCAGCTGGTAGTTTTCCACACCCACCTACATACACCGTCCTACTTCTTCTCTGATGCTCACAACTACATCATCATCTCTTTTTGCGTGTTCTGTGTAGGCTTTGTTACTAACTCCATGCGCCACTTTAGGAGCATCACTGTTAATTGGAACGCAACAGCGAATCGTGCAGGACTATCCCCAGCCGATGCTCCGAAACTTTACAATATTTAATTCGCTTTGCGTCTCGGTTAACTAACTAATCTCACGACAGGAATGAATCACTTCCCACCTCGGTGTGTAATGTACTATTTTGTTGCATTTTTATACCAAGATATACAGGGTGTCCCATAGGTAATGGATCAAAAGAAGTGGAGTGGTATGAGGGGTCATTTGTAATCAAACTAACGGTATATGTTATCAAATTGTTGATAAGTATAAGTATAATTTATTTCACCTACGGCCACTATAGAAAGTAGGCAAGAACACACAAGATACAGCCTCAGTAAGTAGCTCTTTACGCACAGTAAGCACATCGCACAGTTGTCGTTTATTCCGCCAGTCATGATCTCGTAATCGCCGTCAACAGCTGATGGCATAACTATCAAGAATTATAAATTCAGACTGTTTGTCCAAACTTTTCTGATGTAATATATGGCAGTAGGTAAAGTATAGTACGTAATGCGTGTTGTAAAGCAATTACGCACTCATGGACTTTTCCATTCGTGCGTAATATGCTTCTTACAACACATATTACGTAAGCATAACATAATAATATTACATTGCATTTTATTTTCCCTATTAAATAATGCAAGAGGTAAATAAAAACGGGAAAACTCAGAAAAGGATTAATAACCCTTGTGCGTGGTTCAAAAGTTAATGAATTTTTCTGAAAAATGCGACCCATTCGAAAAAAATTAATAACAAAAAGGCTGTTTTGAATAACCCCTTATGTTATATCATTTCGGAATCTGTATTAAATGGACAACTTTTTCTTATGATTGGTTATCGTTGTGGGGTAGTTTTATAATCTGCCAGCGGCATTTAAAAATCGACTTAAATATCGCATTCGATTACAAAACTCAAGGAAACAAATTTTTTCTCAGGTAATTGATAAGAAGTAATACATGTCATAAAATTATTTCGGGGGAAAGGAGCATCTATGTGGATGAAATTTGTAAAAGAAAAAATGACAAATGTGACATACAGTTTTATTGTAATTAATTATTGTTTATAGAAATAAAAAAACATCAATAACTTAACTATCAACAATTGGAAATGACCCCCCTACTACCCCACTTCTTTTGATTCATGACTTATGGGACACCCTGTATACACTAATTAATCATGTAGTTTGGGGATGTTCATGGAAAAACAATAATAATTTTATAGACAATTATCAATTTGTGCTCGCATGCAGCGGCGTCACCAATCAAATTTGTGCACTTTTATTTTCATGACAAAAAACAGTGCATGTTTAACAAATTACTACAGCGAATATGCACGCCACAATTGTATGCAAAGTAGTTTTTTTGTGTTGAGTTATTGATCGCAATATTCATGTTTACCAATTCGCAAGCTCTTCATCATATTATGATTTGAGAGCTGGTCATTTCCAAATTTCAGTTTAAGATTTCTGGAAAAATACTTTATATCATAGCAGCAATGGGATATAATAGGTTCTTCAATCGTACTTTGTCAAGTATTATTAATAATTCCCATAAATCTCTCATTGACTGAATGAAGTTGATTACTAATAAAGATAAATTATGATATTTTGCGATAGTATCTATAATTTTCACTATCGTTATATTACAATATGTTATTAATTGAATGAAATTCGTTCCTTGATAAAAACGGATCTATTTTCTAGGAAAGTTGCAGATTATATCTTGCAACAGCGCCTAATACTTCGAGTCCGTCCACACTTGCGTCCACACCATTCAAAATACTGACAGGCACAACAAGCGGAAGGAGCCATGGCTATCGGCTTCATTCTGTTCTGACCGATGGCAGTAAATTAGGAAGGATAGCATCATTGAATGTAGCCAAGAGTGATTCATCGATTCAATGATATTTTCGTTCAGGCGAGCTCTATTCGAGACATTTCAAGGCTGTCAGAATGAAGCCAACTACCCTCTGCATTCCTGCTCGAAGTGCATTTGTGGTTATGTATGTTTTTGTTTACCAGTTTTACTTCTTCAATTTTTTTCATTCGTTTTTCATTCGTTAGCTATATTCTTCACCATCAGCTATTTTCAGACTAGATTCAGAATGTACGTCGCAGTACACGCCCCGAAAATTAGAAATTGCTTCAATTTGAAAATGAAAACGACTAGGACTTTATTGGTCGCCATTCTGTAGAGTGTGGACATAAAACTGGAGAGTTCCGAACTTATTTTATGAAAATTCATGTGAAGGAAACTTCCCCATTAAAAATGACAAAAATTAAGTGTTGCTTCATGTTTCCCCAATAGATTCTTAATTTCTTCAGATAAGTTAGGACTGATTGAGCGATGACAGATGAAGCATAAATTAATTATGTATGGATATGATATCGCCGATATCTACCGTTACTCTTACCGATATCCTATAGTTTTGTTGCACCCCATCTCGAGTCGCAGTGGAGGGGTGGTATTCACCCCACTCACATGGAACCTAACCTCACCTTGTTGCAGTTCAACTAGGGAAATACATATTTATGCTTTTCTGAATATTATTGCGGTATTTTGGTTGTACTTCTGTATTTGATTATTTATCCACAGTCTCCAAAACTTTACTTTACCTTAATATTCATGGTTATTGACGTCGGCCTATCTTTTATCTGAAACGGGTGGTGAAAAGGCTTGTCAGTGTCACTATCACTATCCTCCTTCTCCGACAAACTGGACAACTCTCCCAACTCCTCTTTTTTCGACAGAGTTTTACAAAAGTCGGTCAACTCTTCTATAGTTTTGCCGCCCGATTTAATCGCCGCTATGACTTTCTCTTGGGCTTGCGGGCCCAAGGTCAGCGCAGCGGGTAAACTTCCGGACTTCATCATTGTTATGGCGTTCTTCCTGGCGATTTCCAATAGTTTCTTTTTGTCAATCTTGGAAGAGCTATCTCTGTCATACTTATCTCGATCATCGTAACCTCGATATCTAGAAGGATACGATGGAATTAGCCATGTGGAGTTGGCACCGAACAAAATTTTCTGGAGATCTGAGTAGACTTAATAGAGTTCTAGAGTTCCTGACAGAAATTTTGAATGGTTCCAGCAAATCGTAGATGTAAATGGAAAAAAATAATTTTGAGCGCTAACTTCACGCAGTGCCGTTTTTCTCTCGGTTTTTCTCGAGGAAATTAGTTTCTATAGGCGGCATTTCTTGGTGATATATTCCGTTCTCTTTCGTATTGAAGAGGAAATTTTCAAGAAAAAAGTGGAAAATCATTAGAAAATATAAAAATCAGCTGTCATAAGGTGCCGACCTTTGGAGAATAACAATTTTGACAAATAAGTAATTAATTCCAAAGAACACAGAACACAATGAGAATATTTTGAAGAACTCGTCGAGCGCCACTCAGGCCTCCCATCAGAACTATCGAATATGTTAGTTTTTTTAAGTCGGCACCTTAAGACAGCTGATAAATGAAAAAGTATCGATTTGTCACTGAAACACAATGAGAATATTTTGAAGAACTCGTCGAGCGCTACACAAAACTTCTATCAGAGCTGTTCATTTCTTTGGAATTGATTGTTTATCAACAATGTTTGTTTTTTGAGGTCAGCACCTTAAGACAGCTGATGAATGAAGAAGTATCGATTTGTCACTAAAACACAATGAGTATATTTAAAAGAACTCGTCGAGCGCTACTCAGGACTCCCATCCGAGCTGTTCATTTCTTTGGAATTGATTGTTTATCAAAAATGTTAGTTTTGTGAGGTCAGCACCTGGTGACAGCTGATAAATGGAAAATATCGATTTGTCACTAAAATACAATGAGAATATTTTGAAGAACTACCGCTACTCAGAACTCTCATCTGAACTGTTCTGTTCTTTGGAATTAACTTTTTATCGAATATGTTAGTTTTTTGAGGTCGGCACCTTATGACAGCTAATAAATTTTAATGTATCGATTTCTATCTAAAACTTTTTTCTCGGAAGTTTTTTCTTCAATATGGAAGAGAACGGAATAGTTCACCAAGAAATGCCGCCTATAGAAACTCAATTTCGTATTTTGTTTCTTCGAATTATTCAATAATTTGCTTAGATCACCAGAACTATTGATGAAATAGGTTTAGAACTCTAGAACTCCTTATAATACATCGAAAAAATATATCAGAACTTATTTTCTCGAAAAAAACGGCGATGCGTGAAGTTAGCGCTCAAAATTAATTATTTCCATTATTTTTGGCCAAATTGATCGGGTTTCACTTTTTTAATTCTGGTCTGGAGCAGATACCAGTGTCTTTGGATAGGGGTAACCTCGGGGGTAACTGAATTCCGCCATTTCATACGATTATGTTATATTATGAAGAACTTATTTTTGTTTAATTGTTATTACCATATCAATTGTATGAATAAAGGCATATTATTATTATTATTATTATTATTCTAGTTGAATTTCGACCAAATCGTAGATTTAGATTTCGGATTTATTTTCTGAATTTTAGTTCCCAAGAAAAGCTAATAGCTTGATCATTATACAGGGAAAAACTTAAGTTACCTACCTAAACTTTCATTCTCAGCTTTTCATCAGCTTCATTCATTATACAGGGTGGGTCACGGTGGATGGCCTATTAGAAGTATCTGGAGAACGAAAAGACAGAACATTTTGAAAATTGGGATGCTTTGATAATTGAACATTCTCTATGCGTCTGAAATGTTTTCATCGATACAGTGTTGCCACTTCTATCAGAAACAACCAGCAACTTCGTTATTTTAAATGGAGCATCCTGTATTTTATTGCATTTTTAGATTCTTCCTGAAGAGCTGATTTTATCAATGGGTGTCTAGCAGGAATGATTAAAGAGATATAGGGTGTTCAAAATCACGATTTTTCAATTTTGGGATTTTCTTTATCGAAACTATTCATTATCGATCAAAATGGTTTACATGTCCCTATCCTGACTTTCGATTCACTATCTACTGACATTTAATTGGTACAGATACAGGGTGATCAGAATTCTGAATCTTGAAGCACCCTGTATTTTTTCCAATTAAATTCCAGTAGATAGTGAATCGAAAGTTAAGATAGGGACATAAGGCCCGTAAGCCGTTTTGTTCAATAATGAATAGTTTCGACACAAAAAAATCCTAAAATTGAAAAATCTAGATTCTGAATACCCTATATCTCTGTAATCATTTCTGCTAGACCCCAAGTGTGATGCATTGATAAAATCAGCTCCTCAGGAAGAATCTAAAAATGCAATAAAATACAGGGTGTTCCAATTGAAATAACAAAGTTGTTAGTTGTTTTTGATAGAAGTGGCAACACTGTATCGATGAAACCATTTTAGACGAATAGAGAATGTTCAATTATGAAAGCATCCCTATTTTCAAAACGTCTGTCAATCAAAGCATCCCAATTTTCAGAATGTTATGTATTTTCGTTATCCAGATACTTCTAATAGGCCGTCCACCGTGACCCACCCTGTATATCGAAGACTGGAACCTTTGGCACGATAATACACTACACTGTTTCACCACTAACCAAACCGATTTTTTTATATACCTAGTGTTAGCATCTAGCAACTAGATGCGCTACTGCTCAGTGGAATGTGCTTAGATCAGAGCCTATGACAGACGTGTGTGAAGACTGGCTCAGATAGTATTCGGCAGGCAACCGAGTTATGAGCAAATGTAACCCTTGTCCATGTCATTTGTGCTCGTGTTTATTGAATTATGACCATAATATAACACCTAGTATATAAGCAGCACACTAGAATAGGATATTTAGTTTTAATCTTCTCCTGAAGATGCTAACATAGTTATGGAAAACACGTGTTGAGGCGTTTAAAAAATCGGTTTGGTTACTGGTAAAACAGTGTAGTTTTCATTCATTATGTTATAGATTGAAGTATGATCCCTTCTCAACACAATGATTTCCATCAATCTTCTTTTTAGAAAAAGATAGAAGTGTTTTTCGTTGACCTCTACAAAAAATACATTTTACATCTTAATTTCCGAACGAACAACCGACTATATCCTAAAGCAATCATATTTCCGAACATAAATTTATCATTTGGACGAAATTTCACCCCCAGATCGGATAAGAATTGAAAAAGTTACAGGGCGATCAATTTGGCTAGTTTATTTTCTAGGCGTTTTTTTTGCCAGTGAGTTTAATAAAATTGTATACAGTGTGATAATTAAGTTTTGCATTGGTAGATTTGATCTGCAGGTGAAAATTTTTGAAAACATTCTGAAACCTCATATGAATAATAATAAATGAACACGTCGACCTATCTGACGGCAAGAACTTGAACACTTCTGAGTAGTTTGTTTTGATGAACGTGACCAATCCTTGACAAATAAGCACCAAAAAAAAAACAATTGTGAACCTGTGTGAACCCATGAAAGCAATGTAAATTGACTGCTTTGACAGCTTTCTAAAACTCCAATATGGTGGCATATCTCATGGCATATGCTTATTTTCTATTTTATCACCAGAATATTGAAAATGGCGGGAAATGCTGTAAAGCCGCTTTTTCATTATTCAGTAATTTCACAATCATTAACTATTTAACTAATAAGTCAAAACTTGGATTTCCCGTCATTCATTTATGCACCTAAATTGAATTTCATCTTCCATTAATTATTTGCTAAAAGATGACCAACTTTTATCTCAATGACAAATACAAATAATAAAACTGTGACTCACAAACAATTTATTCTTCTTATTTTTCCAAAATGTGGTAGAAAATTCTGAAAATCAAGTCCTATGTTCAAATTAGACTCTGGAAACAATATGAATTAATGATTCTTATATTGGAATTATGTGATCACTGAATGTTATAAATAACACAAATATTTTGATTGGCCAAGTATGCTGAGGACTATGTTTTGATCAAGAAGAAGAGTTTAAAATTTAAAAAATGGTAGTACATAAAGGTATCATAGTCCTCAAATCAAAATAAACTTTAATGACAGTTAATGAAAGCAACAGAAGATTCCTTTAGTGTAATTATGAGAAATGGAGCAGTTTGAAGTTTGGCTGGAAATGTGGTACAAAATATTAAACAAGACAGGAAACACAGTAGCTATTAGTATTGAAAATGATTGAAATTCAATAAATAACTCAAATATTGAATGAAGAATGTAATAATATCATGTATGATGTCATACCTCAAAAATGGTTCCACAAGGTCCATATATAGGTCCCTATATATGGTTCTACTGGGTGAACCATCTGGACATTATAAGTGTTTCCTGTCTTGTTTAATATTTGAAAAATGTTTATTCCAACTTTTCTTTTAAATACCTAATTCCATTTTGGATGGATGAATATGGAAAGGTTTCAATATACCCATCTGCTTATACTTTTTGAGTTTTCAATTATTAGAAAATAATCACAATATATTTTACTATGGTGCCACTAACCTGTCCCTCATAAACCACTTTTCATCCCTTTGACTAGAACCCTTATCTTTTGATTTGTAGAAATCATCATCTTTATTCAATTTATTTCTATTCCTTCTGTAATCTTCCAGTTCACGATTATATTCATCTCTATCTCTATCTCTATCCCTATCCCTATGTTGGTCTCTTGATCTATGATCCCTAGTGCTTTCCCTAGTACTGCTGTATTTATCTCTTCTACTATCCCTTTCTCTGCTTCTTTCCTTTCTCCTTCCATAAAAATCATCTCTACTTCTATCCCTACTGTGGTCTCTATTTCTCTCCCTGCTGTGATCTCTATTGTGATTTCTTGATTTATCTCTATCTTTGCTCTTCTCTCTATATTTACTATCACTTGTTTTGGATTTAGTTTCTTCAGTTTTGACTTTTTTATCAGAATGATGACGTTCCCTACTCTTAGATCTACTCCTTTTTTTGGAATGTGATTTGTGTTTCTTTTTGCACTTATGTTTTGATTGGCTATCAGAATCTGAAGCTTCTCCTTCTTCTTGATCAGCATGTTTTTCATATATTTTTTTAGCCTCTGCCTCGAATACTTTACTCAGTTTCAAATCTTTGATGACTATCTTATTTTTCTTTCCAGGTTCTTCAGTTTTGTGCACTTCATCTTTCACCTTCACCTCAACCTTTACATCTTTTTTTGGGATATCCTCTTGCTTAGAATCTTTTTCTTTCTTCACTGACTTGATTTTTTTCTCTGCATTTTCTTTCTCATTCTTTATCAAAATCTGTGCAAGATCTACTTTTTCTTCACTCCCTTCTGAAGATGAACTATCACTACTACTGTCTGATCTTGATCTTTTTCTTTTTTTATCTTTCTTCTTTTGCTTCTTATCCAGCTTCCTATCTTTATGCTTGTGTTTCTTTTTCTTTTTGTGTTTCTTGCTGGAATCCTCAGTTTTTTCCGTTTTTTCCTTTTTGATAATTATCGGGGGTTTCGCCTGGAAAGTGCTGAAAAGTTCAGATAATATTTCCATCGAAGATTTAGTGGGTATATCAGGTTTTTTATCTTGTTCTTCTTCAGCAGCCATTTCTTTATCTCCAACTTGTCTGATATAAAATATAGAAGGATATTGCAAATTATCTGAATCCAAAAAATCAAAACAACAAAGTCCAACCAAAAAACCAATGTGAGTTGGCTGCCAAAGTTGGCTGCCAAAATTTCCGAACTAACCGACAGACCATACCAGTGGCGGGCGGCCATTCTTTCATTAATCAATTACTTTCTCTTCTCTTTAATAGAAATTGCACTAATATACCACAATACATACTTTTTTTTTCATATTTCGCATCAGACTTCCATTATAATATATGGTAGGGTACATTACTTCAAAAGCCTAGAAACGTGTGGTAGCAAATAAATAATTCAGATGGGTCCAGCAACTTGTACAGGGTGGATCAGCTATTTTCGAAATATTTTTTTTTCTTATATTCCGCATCAGACTTCTGTGATGAAATATGATCGTTACTCATGAAGCCTAGAATCATATGGTAGCGAAATAGTTTCTTCCAGTTGGGTCCAGCGACTTGTACAGGGCAAATCAGCTATTTTCGGAATAATTTTTTCCCATACTTCGCATCAGACTTCCGTAATGAAATATGGTAGGTCACGTTACTTTCGAACCCCAGAACCATATGGTAGCGAAATAATTACTTCCAAACGGGTCCAGTTAGCGACTTGTACAGGGTCGATCAATATATAAGCTATTTTCGAATTTTGTCTCCTGTATTCCGCATCAGACTGCCGTAATGAAATATGGTAGGATACGTTACTTCTGAAGCCTCTAGAATCATATATGGTAGCGGAATAATTTCTTCCAAATAAGTCTAGCGACTTGTACAGGGTCAATAAGCTATTTTCGAAATCATTTTTTTTCATATTTCGCATCAGACTTCCGTGATGAAATATGTTGGGTGGCGTTACCTTTGAAGCCTACAACCGCGTGGTAACAAAATAATTACTTCCAAATGAGTCCAGCGACTTGTACATGGTGAATAAGCTATTTTCGAAATATTTTTTCCTATATGTCGATTCTAGGCTTCGAAAGTAACTTAACCTACCATATTTCATCACGGAAGTCTGATGCAAAATATATGGTAAAAAAATTAATTTTGAAAATAGCTGATTCACCCTTTACAAGTCGCTGGACCCATTTGGAAGTAATTACTTGGCTACCACACGGTTCTGGGCTCTAGAAGTAACGTAACCTACCATATTCCATTACGGAAGTCTTATGTGAGATATGGAAAAAAATATTTCGAAAATAGCTCATTTACCCTGTACAAGTCGCCGGACCCATTTAGAAGTAATTATGTTGCTACCATATATGGTTTTGGGATCCAGAAGTAACGTGAACTACCATATTCCAATACGGAAGTCTGATGCGAAGTATGGGAAAAAATTATTTCGAAAATAGCTGATTCACCCTGTACAATTCGGTGGACCTATCTGGAAGAAACTATTTTGCGACCACACAATTCTGGGCTTCAAAAGTAATGTACCCTGCCATGTATCATTAAGGAAGTCTGATGTGGAATATGAAAAAAGAGTATGTGCAATTTCTATTAAAGTAGAAAGTAATTGATTCATGAGAGAATGGCAGTACGCCACTGGTATGGTCTGTCGGGTAGGTTCGGAAATTTTAGCAGCCAGCTTTGGCAGTCAATATCACATTGGTCAATTTTGTGGAGGTTAGGTTCTTCTTCTCTATTTTTTCAAATCACTCTTTCAGTTTTCTACTAGTGCGTGTGCTACTTGTGTTCGTAGCGTCCCCGTCCCACTGCCAAATGTTTTGCTTGAAAGTTGACCATTCTGGCTGTCAATGTTGGTTTTCGTTTTCATAAGTTGTCATCAATGATCTATGATCTATGACGTGTCAATTGTCATCATTGTCAACAACAAAGTCAACGATTTGAAGTTTATTTTTGTGATTCTCGGGAGTCGGGATATTCTGTTCGAATTTTAGATGTTTCAGTTGAATCGTTCGAAGTTTTCTCTGTGATTCTCCACTTCTCTGTTTTCCTTTGAATTCGAGATATTTTTAGTGTAACATTTTTAGGCAATATTGGCCCTACAAACAGCAAATCATTTACTAAAGGTTATCTGAAAGGTCGATTGAAACTGGTCAAATATTTCTAATGGATTATGCTGAATTACAAAAACATGCAGATACAGCTGGGAAAAAATGGTACAGGAATGCAAAACAAAGGTAAAGATTGGTAATTCAATACCTCTACACAATTGCGTTGATGTTGTACTTTACTGGGTCTCCAAATCCAGTTTTATACACACACTGCACTACTGACTACATTAGACTAATAAATCCTGTAGTCTGTAGTCTTAAGAACATGATTCCTATATTGGGACAATTTTCAACTTGCTTACAACCATTGTATGCTTACAACCTACCTTTCTATGGCATTTCAATGTTAACCTGCTACTCACAATAATTGCTCCATTCCTTCTTTGTCCCACAATTATTTTATTTTACTAATAAGTAACTCTCAGAGGTTCCTGATTAGTATTCATGATATTTCAAAAAGTTTGTGGGGTAAGTAGATATATTTTATAGTGAAATGTGAATGAAATTGACCTTTTTACCAAAATTATTCTGATACTGGTTTATAGTAGTTAGGAGAGTAGTTATATGAAATTCAACTAAGGTGTTCTTATCAGTTGGCTAACCCCTTTGAAATCACTACAATGGCATTGTTTTATAATACCATAATTATTCATGTAAAAATCGGTAAAAATAGACTAATTTTAATTTTGTATTTTATATTCATAAAATATTTGATCAGAACATTCAAAACCATTTCAGAACATTCCTGAAATTTTTATAACACACTAGAACTACCATTGAGTTTCATAGAATATCCTGAAACCTATGGGATATTCAGAATAATTTTAGAATATCCTGAATTCATTTGACACCATATCAAGAACATTTGAAGGCATTTCTGAAAATACTATAATATCTAAACAGAATCAGAAAATTCTCCAACAATTTGATGGTAATCATTGGCCCAGTCATTGACCATCAGAAATATATGAAATTAAAATGATTCTGATTGAAATTTTCAAGTAATCAGATCTACAGTTATCTAACAAAAACCTCGACAAAAACACACTATCTTATCATTATTAATCCCCCCCGCCATTGCACAACATTTCGCCAAAGATTGTCGTCGAAATACCGGCGCGTAAAAGGACAGTTTACAGTTTTTTGGCGTTCATGGTCAGAGTTCTAGGTCATTCTAAAACAGTCACGAAATTTTTAGAGCATTTCAGATCGTCCTAGAACTCCTAGACCATTCTAGATATTCTTTGAATTGTTTAAACATTCAGATCAATATAGAACATTCTTGAAATTGAAAAAAATGGAGATCAATCCAGAACATTCCTAACATTTCTAGAATATTCGTGATTGGTCTAGAACTCAACATCTTAAAGCATTCCAGAGAACAGTCATGACATTTCTATAATATACTAGAAGATTTCTGAATATTCAAGAGCATCTGTAAACAGAATCCTCGACAGAATCGGAACATTCTCAAATAATTTTAATAAATTATTTGTTGGAAAAACATAAATGAATTGTAAAATTATTGAAATTGTTTTTAGAACAAATGGAATCCACCATAAGCTATAGGTTCTGCTCTTCTTTCAAGTGCTGACCTTTGAACAGTTGGTTTTCAACTTCAAAGTAGCCAAAACGTCCTTGATTACTCCTGAAATTTTCAGAACATTCAACAATATCTCTAAAATTACTAGAACATTTGAGATCATTATAGAACATTCCTGAAGTTAAAAATATCAATCTGAACATTTTCAGACATTGAGAGATAATACTATTTATAATGGCTATAAAATTTCTTGATATTCTATGGGGATTTTAGAACATTCATGATGTTCCTATAATAAGCATCTAAATATATATAACATAACCACCCTGATACCTTTGACACAGAACATTTCAACATTCAAGAGCATCTAAAAGCATTCATTCCGGAAATTCTTGAATATCTCCAAACAGAATCAGAAATTCTTAAACAATTTATACAGGGTGATTCACGGGGATCGGCACATCAGACGTTTCTGGAGAAGGCAACTCAGGATTATTCTGAAAAGTTGGTGCCTTGGATAATTAGTTGTGTTCTATCGACCAAAAATCTTCTCAGCGTTGCGACGTTGCCGCTTATATTGAAAAGTAGCAACAACTTTGATTTTTTCAATGGAACACCCTGTATATCATTCCATTTTCAGATTCTTCCTGTATGATCTAAGGTTAAACACGCACTCCGAAGGACGCTTTTGCTGATCTGGCGAGGTGTTTCCACATTTCTGGGCCCCAAAAAGAACACCCTGTATTTTCGAATATCCATGATTTGCTTACATTTTGAAAAGTGCACAAAAAGCTGAATAGAATTCGGTACTTTTTATTTTCACGCATGCTCTTTCTCTTATAAATTTCTGATTCTGAATTTGATGATGGAATGTTTTTAGTTCTCAGAATCAGCAATTCATTAGTAAATGAGCATGCTGGAAAATGAAGTACACGACTCGACTCAGCGTCTTGTGCACTTTCCAAATATATGCAAGCGGATTTTGGAAATTTGGAAATACAGGTTATCCTTTTTGGGCTCAGAAAAATGATCAATTTTTGTTAATCCGGACCTGAACTTTGCTCGTGACTGATGGGTGAGTCAGTTGTTTAGAAGGAAAAGGACTTGTTATTCGGTTGGGAAAAGTGAAAACATTTAATTTTTTTATTTCCAAATGCATTTTACCTCGAATTGGAATCAGAAATTATTTAGTGAAATAGCACGTGGGAGAATGAAAAATACATCATTTCATTCAGGTTCTTTGTGCACTCTCCGAATATGTAAGCAGATTTTGGAATTTCGTAAATACAGGTTGTTCTTTTTGGGGCCCAGAAATATGATAAATTTTGTTAATACGGACCTGGACTTTGCTCGTGACTGATAGGTGAGACAGTTGGTAGAAGGGGAAGGACTTGTGTACCAAATTCCGAAAGAATATACTGGGTGGTTCGCGAGGGGTATATCACGGCGAAAAAAATTGTACATCAAACTTTCCATGGGTCAAAACTTCCCAAACTTCCTCGAACTTCCTCAAACTACC